TTTGGTGCCTTATGGAGGCCACAGTTTCCAGTTTTTGTTGGTTTTTCCTTGGTCACATCCAGTTCTGGGATTGGGGCGTGGCTGATGCAGCTCGGCAGCCCCAGCTGGCCCTGCCAACACCATCGGTCTTGTCCCCCCCCAATATTTAACATCCCAGTGTGTTTTCTTGGCCTTAGCACAGGTGGAACTTCAGGGGTGCCCCGGCAGAGGTAGCAGAACCGTGAGGAATCCGTCTGCACTTCCTCCTGGTATTCCCATAGCTGAGTTGTGCAGTGGAAGAGGATCATTGGACACGGTGCCCGAAACTTCATCCAATCCATTTCAACCGGGGTGGTTTTTTTGGGTTTTTTTTTTGTTGATTTTCCCCCTTCAAACTGGCCAAGATCTTTGGCACTGAGTGAGCCCTCGGAGCCCAGGCTTCGATCCGAGACGTCGGCTCTGCCGAACCCTCGCGGCTGGCACCGGCTCCCCCCGCCCAGGGGGACACAAGCACAACCCCCCCAGCGGGCAGCCCGCTCCCTGGAAGCTGCTGTTCCCACCCCCCTCCCCGTGGGGCTTCGATTTGCTGGGCTCTCCCTGCGCTGCCGTGGCCGTGTGGGGTGTCCCCGTGTGGTAAATATGCAATAACTTGTTTACAGGATGCTCTGGGCAGGGTGGTCCTTTGTAAAGCTGTACAGCCTTTGCAGTTCAAGCACAATGTGCACAGTTAGTTTTCTATTCAGCCAAACCTGAGTTTTTTGCAGCAGGGAGAGGTTCCTCTATGTTTCTATACGACGTGAAATGGGTCAGCGTTTGTGCTTCGTGTAAAAGCTGCTTTATAAGACTGTAAAATAAATTTTTTTATCTTAAGGCAAACAGGGGGTGTCGTCTTCTCTCAGGGTGGGTTCCTGGTGGGAGTGATTTCTGCTGAACCTGCTATGGTTTGAGTTTCATGGGGTTTGTTGAATAATGATTTTCACTGACTGGTCACTAAAAACACCTGAACAAAAGTGGTTGGTAAGGTAAGAAATTCAGGACTCTTAAAGCTCCAGGGAGATCTGAGAGCCCCTTGCAGGGCCTGAAGGGGCTGCAGGAGAGCTGGAGAGGGACTGGGGACAAGGGAGGGAGGGACAGGACACAGGGAATGGCTTCCCACTGCCAGAGGGCAGGGTTAGGTAGGAGATTGGGAAGGAATTCCAGCCTGTGAGGGTGGGCAGGCCCTGGCACAGGGTGCCCAGAGAAGCTGTGGCTGCCCCTGGATCCCTGGAAGTGTCCAAGGCCAGGCTGGATGGGGCTTGGAGCAACCTGTGCTGGTGGAAGGTGTCCCTGCCCATGGCAGGGGGTGGGATGGGATCAAGATCACCTTTAAGGTCCTTTCCAAAAGAAACCATTCCAGGATTGTCCCAGCCCCTCGGGAGAGACTGATTTCCATTCCTTAGCAGTTTGTTAAAACGCAGGGATTGAAAATAGAAGTGGATTTAACTCTGTTGCTTGGTGATGGATTTGGGTGTTTGCTGCTCAGTTCGTGCTGGAAGGAGCCACATTTCCCATCTGCCTGGAGAGTGACTGATCATCCCATGGATGCCTCGTGCTTCTGGAATGTTAAATAGCTGCCTCTCTCCTTAATCTCTTCCCCAGGCTCTCCCAGGCTGGCAGAGCTTCCCCACCCAAGGGCTCTGACCCCGGGGACAAGTCCCAGCAGCAGCTCTTGGCCGGTCAGTGCTGGCTCTGGTGTCCAGCCCCCAGGACATCCTGCTCCCAGGCTGGGCTGCAGCTCCAGTCCCATTTTCCTGCAAAAAATTGGATTTTCTGCTGGGAAGTTTCCACTGGTCTGTAACTGGTTTGTAACTGGGTTGTCACTCGTTGCACAGTGTTTTAAAGGACGTGTGGATGTGGCACTTGGGGACACGGTCCAGGGGTGGCCTTGGCAGTGCTGGGGGATGGTTGGATTTGATGCTCTTTGAGGGCTTTTCCTGCTTCAGGGATTCCATGATTCCCTGGGAGGCACCAGGGGCTGGCACAGCCTGTCCAAGCGCTGGTTTGGGAATCGGGAGGTTTCCCAGTGCTGGGAGGAAGGTCCTGCCTGGGGCAGGAGGTGGAAGGGCTGGGGATAATCCCTCTGCCCCGTGGCTCTGGCAGAGCTGCTCCCGGGCACGACCCGCAGGGATTAGTGCTGGGATTGTGCCCGTGATCATATCAAACAATCCAGAGTCGTTTTACAGCTTTCCCTGGCTCTCTGCCATCACAGCAGCTGAATTCCAGCCTTTCCAGCTGTGGAGCAGCCCAGAAACCCAGGTAGGTGAGGGGGCACCTGGAGTCAATCCCCATTCCAGGTTCTGCTTTGGGGGGAAAGGAGCCTGGAGATGGTTTAAAACACACACTCAGTGCCAGAAGTGTGGGGTGGGCAGAGAGGGAGTGTGTTCTCCCTGCTCTTCCCGTAATCCTGTGGGTTGGGGACCATGGGGGGATCAGTCAGTGGCAATCCCCCTGGAATGGATGTGCCAGGCTGTGGCACAGCACAGCAAACCCTAATGTGCCAGTTTGCCAATGCTGCGGGGGCTGGGGGTGATCCAGAGGCACTTGGTTATCCATGATGCAGCTCCAAGGAGGAATTGGGATGGGATTGTCCTCCTTGTGGTGCCTGGGACAGCCTGGCTGTTCTCATCCCAACAAAAGGGCTGTTTATAAACCCAGGGGAAGCATCAGCTTCTCCAGCACCTTCCATCCCTGCATGCCTGGCTCATCCCTGCATCCCTGACCACTCCCTGCATCCCTGGCCCATCCCTGCATCCCTGACCTATCCCTGCATCCCTGGCTCATCCCTGCATCCCTGGCCCATCCCTGCATCCCTGACCTATCCCTGCATCCCTGACCACTCCCTGCATCCCTGGCCCATCCCTGCATCCCCGACCCATCCCTGACCCATCCCTGACCTATCCCTGCATCCCTGGCCCATCCCTGCATCCCTGGCCTATCCCTGCATCCCTGACCTATCCCTAGCCCATCCCTGCATCCCTGACCTATCCCTGCATCCCTGACCTATCCCTGCATCCCTGACCTATCCCTGCATCCCTGGTCCATCCCGGGCTCATCCCTGCCAGGGTCAGAGCACCCCATGTTTGCTGCCAGGGATGAGTTTTGTGGGAGTTTGAGTCCCTGGGGTTTGGGGTTTGCTGATGGGATCTGCATCCATTCCTGATCCATTGGTGCCAATCCCTGTGTCCACCCTGTAGCTGCCTCCTGATGGTGGGTGAGCTCTGGCACTGGGAATCGGGCAGGATCTTGGCTCTGGAGCATCCCCCATGGTGGGAATGGGGATCCCAGAGCCCTGGGAAGGTGTGTCCAAGGGGAATCTGTGCCCCAGTAGTGGCAGGGGAGGGATGACACCCAGAAATGGATAAAAGAGTGGGATTAAAGTGCTGGATAAATGCTGGGCATCCACCAGCCCTGCTGGAATGACCCTCCAGCAGTTCATTACTCTGCTTCTCCCAGCTCCTTAATAATCGAGGAGCCATGCCCAGGATCCTCTCCATCCTCCACAATCTCCCACTCCTCAAACGCTGTGAAACGTTTCCAGCAGCTGCAGCAGAAATAGTGGATTTTGGGAACTGAAAGGGAGAAACGTCCTGGGTTTTCCACCGGTGTGGGGAGAGCTGGAGGCTCCTGCTCCGCCTGGCTGGGGTCCTCCATCCAGCCGGGAATAATCTGGGAATGAGCATCTCCCTCTTCATCCCTGGGAGGGTTTTGAACTCGCCCGTCTCCTAGGGGACAGTTCAGCGAGTTTGGGGTTTTTCCGGCGGCCCTGGGAGCTGGGGATGCACCGGCAGGGCTGGGAGTTAATATTTTTTCCTGCCCTTATTCCACTTCCTCGCAGCCCGGCCGAACGAACCCAGAGCCATCGGGAGCGTTTGGCCACAGTTATTTCCGGTTTTATTTTGTTGCCTTTTTCCTGTTCCACTCCAGGACGAGGCAGAATTAATTCTCTCCGAAGCCGGGAGCGGGTTTTACCCGAGCCGGGCCCGGGATCATCCCGGCGGGTGCCGCCGCCTGCCCGCGCCTCCCGCTGGATCCCGCCCGTGGAAAAGCCTGTGGAGCGCCGGTGCCGCCGCCCCGGCCGGGCCATGTGGGCTGTGTTTGTACACACATGAGTGACCCGCGGGTGGGTGCGGAGCCAGCGCCGCCACCGCGGCTCCCTCGGCCCGCCCCGCGCCGCCAGGACCGGCCGTAAGTACCGGCCGCTCCGCTTTCCCCTCCGCATTCCCGGCGCCCGCTTCTCCCGCTGGATGCCCGGGCTTTGCGCGGCAGGGATCGGCCCCTGGCTCGGTGTTGGGAGGCCGGGAATGTGTCCCGGCCCCGTGGAAAGGTGTGGGCAGGAGCTGGTGGGGCTGGAACGCGGCGAGCATTCCCTGCCCTCCCACAGCTCCAGCGGCTCGCGGGATTCAGGGAGGTTTCTCCCGGCAGCGCTTTAGGAGCGGGATGGGGCGCTGGGACACGTCCATTCCCCCCCCACAGGAGGACGGGGGAATTTTTGTTCTGGCAAAGTGAGGGAGCGCGTGCGGGCTCTGGAAAGGCTGGAGCTGCCGCTCGTCCCGGCGGATCCCGGCGAAAACAACCTCCTACAAAGCCTCTGTTGTGCTGCTGGGAAAGGTCTTGGCATGTCCCGCGCTGCTGACGCCGGGGCCGAGAGCGCGGCCGGGCATTTCCAGTCCAGCTCCTCTCGCCCTCCTTCGGGGCCGGCAGAAAGTCAGAGCTGCTAATTATTAACTGCTCAAATATTCCCTCCGTCCACGGGCACCGGCCGCGGCTGGCGGGCAGGGATGTGCCGCGGGGAGGGATTTGCCGGGAGAACTGTACCGTGGGGGATGTGCCAGGAGAGAGCTGTGCCATGGGGTGGGATGTGCTATGGGATGGGATGTGCCAGGGAGAGCCGTGCCATGGGGTGGGATGTGCCATGGGAAGCAGAGCTGCCCCACCCGCGCTCCAGGCTCTGTGCACCAGGCACAGGGACGCTGACAGGGACACCGGGACGTGCCAGGGCTCCTCTCCCCGCAGAGGGTGGAAGTGGTTTCAGGTGGGAACATTCCCCAGGTGAACCTGGAACAACCAAAGGCTCCTGGGCTGGACCTGCAGCTGCAGCGCCGGGACATCCCCACGGGCTTCGCGTGGGGCTGTGGGGGAACAGCAGGGAGGAGGAGGCAGAGGAGGAAGCAGAGGTGTCGCACCAGCCGGCCGAGCCCGCAGCGTTTGTCACCCGCCCTTGGCAAGGAGGGGACTCGCAGAGGGCACGGCCCCGCCGTGCCCCCGTCCCTCATCCCAGTCCCTGCTCCCGGTGGGAACAGGCAGCCGGAGGAGGAGGGAAAACGAGCCGAAGGAGGAGGGAAACGCGGCCCTGCAGGGTGTGCCCGGTGCTGCTGCGCCCGCGGCTCCGGTGACTCATTTTGCTTTAAAAACACAAATTCTTGGGTAAGGCTGGGCCGGAGCCTCCCGCGGCTTCCCGGAGCTTCCCGGAGCAGCCGGAGCGGGACGGGCACGGGGCTGGATCCCTGCTGGGGATGGGGTTTGGCTGGGGGGAAACCGGGGGCTCCCAGCTCAGGGCTGTTTGCAGACCAGGCTCCTGCAGCCCAGGACGTGCCTCTGGAAGAGTTCATGTTTCTGGGAGAGCTCGTGGCCCTGGGAAGGGCTTTGTGTGGCTTCCCCGAGATAAGGGACGTTATTGGCATTATTTTCGTTCTGTCCCATCATCGCCCTCCTTAGTGTTGGTGTCAGACCTGGTGGGCACGGCAGAGCCTGGGCTGGGCTGCCCTGGGGGGCTGGAGATGCAAATATCCAAAGTATCCAAGGGCAGCCCTCCCCCCTGGCTCCAGCTGGGTCACAAAGTCCCAGAATTCCAGAACAGTTTGGGTTGGAAGGGACCTTCAAGCTCATCCCATTCCACCCCTGCCATGGGCAGGGACACCTTCCACTAGCACAGGGTGCTCCAACCTGGCCTTGGACACTTCCAGGGATCCAGGGGCAGCCACAGCTTCTCTGGACAACCTGTGCCAGGGCCTGCCCACCCTCCCAGCCAGGAATTCCTTCCCAATATCCCATCTCTCCCTGCCCTCTGGCAGTGGCAAGCCATTCCCTGTGTTCTGTCCCTCTAGGCCTTGTCCCCAGTCCCTCTCCAGCTCTCCTGGAGCCCCTTTAGGCCCTGCAAGGGGCTCTCAGGGTCTCTCTGGAGCCTTCTCTTCTCCAGGCTGAGCTCCCTTGGCCTGTGGTGGGCTCTGGAGCCACTGCAGGATGCAGGTCCTGTTTCCAGTGGGATCCCAGGGGGATTCAGACTCCTTGGAGCTTTGAGGCAGCACGTTTGGAGTTCAACAGCCCAGACAAAGCTCCTGCTTTAAGTCTAATCTTTAACCAGAGGCACTGCCAGTTTTATTTTATGTCTGTTTATTGCTCTCTTGCCTCGTTAATTTTTTCCCTCCCTTCACCACCTCCTGCCACCTCCCTCTCCCAGCCCTTCCCGGGAGCCCACGGCGTTTTCCTGGGGCTGGTTCTCACCGGAGCTGCTTGGCCGAGGGGAGAGGTAGAGCATGGCAGGGGAAGCACAGGGAAGTGCCAGGGGCTGGGAAGGGGCAGCACAGGGGGTTGTTTGGGGCTGGCTCTGCAGCACAAGGATGTGCCAAAGGCTGGATCCCGGCGTGTCCCGCTGTGGAGTTCCGGATGGCTGGGGTGGCTGGAATGTCAGCCCAGGAGCAGCTCCTGGGAGGTTCTGCCCTGTGGCTCCGTGGGCTGGAGGGCTCAGACACCTCTCAGAGTCCTGGGGGAGCAGAGGGTTGGATTATCTTGGATCCCTGGGATCCCTGTGGGACCAACCTGACCCCTGGGCTATCTTCCCACCCCTTTCCTTGCTCCAGGTGCTCCCTGGCAGGGGGAACAAGGGAGAATTTCTGGTTTTCCCCTTTATTTCACAGACTGGAGGTGGAGGCAGAGGCAGGAGAGGTGGCACTGCCGAAGCCAGCAGTGGGTAAGAGCTGGAGCTACTCCATGTGCTGGGATATTCCCTGGGATGTGGGAAAGGTGACCCTGCCCTGGAGCTGCCTGGGACCCCGTGTCCCCTCCTCAACCCCTTCCCTGCCTGCTCCCCCAGCCCAGGGCTGCCTGTGGGACCTCGAGGTGCTCCAGGGATGTGGGGGCTGTTCCCACCCCTGCCCCCCTCCCGGCTCTGTTGGGATAACAGGGAGTTTCTGTCCCTGTGGGATGTGCTGACCTTCTCCCCGGGCTCCTTTTGGGCACAGGGGGTAGGAGGGATCCCAGCACCCCTGAAGGGACGGATGCCCCCTCCCCTCCCCTGTGCACATCTCCAGGAATGTTTGTCCCCCCCAGGCCACCCATCCTGACCCCGGGACCATCACTCTGGCCGTCCCAGGAGCCCGCGGGCTGTGAGCCGTGCCCGGGGGGGATGTGAGGCACCGCCGGGCTCATCCGCAGGGAGGCTGATCCGGGAGATCGCTCGGATCGGGAGCGCGACCCGAGCCATGCTGAGCCTCAAACTGCCGCGGCTGCTCAGCATCCACCAGGTGCCAAAGGTCAGCCCGGGGCTTCCCCTCCCCAAACCTGAGGCTCGGAGGGGCTCGGGGGGTGCAGCATTCCAGGGGGGTCACAGCTATGTCCTGTGTCCTGGATGACGGGCACCCTCCTGGATCCGTGTCCTGCCCGCCCCTCGGGCTCGTTCCGCTGCCCACTCGTGGTGCCGTTCGTGCCCGCAGGGATACCGGGAGCAGGGGATCCTGTTCGGGTACCGCCCCCCCCGCAGCTCGGCCACCGACTGCCTGCTCAGCGTCTTCCAGATGACCAACGAGACCCTCAACATCTGGACACACTTCCTGCCTGCCTGGTGGGTCCCGCGGGGGCTCTGCAGCACCCAGGGCCGGGGGGTATCCCACGGGGGCGTGGGGGTCCCAAAGGGGGGTGGGTGTGTCCCAAAGGGGAGTGTGTCCCCCAAAAGGTGATGGGTGTCCCCCAGGGTGATCCCACCTCCCTCCACCCCACAGGTACTTCGTGTGGACACTGCTGGGGCGGCTTCAGGGGGGCTGGGAGGACCCCCGGGCCTGGCCCCTCCTGGCCTACCTGGCAACCTGCTGCATCTACCCGCTGGCCTCCAGCTGTGCCCACACCTTCAGCACCATGTCCACCCGCGCCCGCCACCTCTGCTACTTCTGCGACTACGCCGCCCTCAGCACCTACAGCCTGGGTGAGGGCACGGCCTGGGGAGGGCATGGGCTGGGGGAGGGCATGGGCTGGGAGGGCACGGCCTGGGGGAGGGCATGGCCTGGGGAGGGCATGGCCTGGGGGAGGGCACGGCCTGGGGCACCCTCTCCCACCTCCCCCGTCTCCCTGTTGGAGAGTTGAGTTCCCAACCCCAAGTGCCACCTGGGAGGTTCCCAGCCATGCCCAGGAGGGTGGGTAGGGTCTGGAACTAACCATGCTCCTCCCGTGCTCCATCCCAGGGTCTGCTCTGGCTTACTCAGCCTACGTGTTCCCCCTGGAATGGGTGGGCACCACCTTCCACCACTGCTACGTCCCCGTGGCCGTGTTCAACACCGTGGTCAGCACCAGCCTGTCCTGCTACTCCAGGTGAGCTCCTGCTGCCCCCGGGGCTGCTGCAGAGCCCTCAGCAAGGGTTGGGACTGGGATTACATCAGCATTAATCATTATTAGTCATTACTGTTAGTAACAAAGGGGATCAGTGAAAGGCTGTGGGAGCCTGAAGTTCAGGAAGGGGGAAGGAGGGGATTTTTAGAAAACGTGGTGTGTGTTGGCACTGGGAGCGCTGGATGATCCAAAGTGCAAGGTGAGTGAAGGAGCTTTAGTTTTTGGAAGTTCGAAAGGTAACTCATGGAATCACAGAATGGTTTGGGTTGGAAGAGAACTCACAGGCCATCCCAGGGCAGGGACACCTTCCACCAGCCCAGGGTGCTCCAAGCCCTGTCCAACCTGGCCTTGGACACTTCCAGGGGTGGACCAGCCACAGCTTCTCTGGGCAACCTGTGCCAGGGTCTCCCCACCCTCCCAGGGAGGAATTACTCCCATTATCCCACCTAACCTGCCCCTGGCAGTGGGGAGCCCCTGGTGATGCTGCAGGGTGGTACCCACTGTGTTCCTGTGTGGGGGGACTCTCCAGCCCCTGGGATCCCTCTCCAAGCACAGCCAGTGCTGTGTGTGCCGTGTTTTGTTCCTGGATGGCATCAGACCATTAGTTTGGAATAACTGGAATGTCCAAGGCACCCAGCTGGTTCCCAGGGTGGGATCTGACTGTGCTGGGTCTCTCGGTCAGTTTTTATTTCATTCCCGGTGGATCCCTCCCTGAGGCTCTTTGGGAATTTCTTTGGCACTATCCCTTCCTTCTACTCTGGGGCACCTCTGTATTTTGTGTTGTCTTGGGGCTTGGCATTTTTTCCTCCTATTCCTCATTTCTTTCTCTCCCTTTCTCTCTTTCCCCTCTTATTCCTGTCTCGTGCATCTCTTTGGTGTCTCATTAGGCAGGTTTAGCAAACAAGACCCACTGACTGTGTGCTAATCCCGGTGCTTCCCACTTGGAGATACCCTTGGGAAGCAACAGCAGCTCGGGATCAGGTCCAGAGTAATTTGGATTGGTTAAAAAAATCCTTGACCCACCAAATTAATTGTCAGCATCCCTTCTACTCCAAACTGTAAGTACAGGTATGTGAGAACCAATCCCTGGGGTGTGAGAGAGCATGGATTCTTCTTGGCTCCAGAATTTTCATTAGGGGAACTCTTGTCTCCTAGAATTTTCCTGAGGTAAATCCATCAAATCTAAGCTTAAAAATTAAAAAAAATAAAAAATCCTCAAACTCCCCCTGGGTGAGCAGGAACACTGAAGATACCAGCCCAGTATGGCCCAGTAGAGCTGCTGGTGGAGCCCATGCTGGGAGGGAAGGGTGTCCTCGAGACCCCTATGGGGCCACCCATTCCCACCACAGGGATTCCCTTTGGCATCCCCTGGTCTGGCCACAGCAGCTTCTCCAAGGTGGGGTTGGGTGGGAGTGGAGCCAAAACCAAGTTGTGCAATGGGAGGTGGTGCCAGGGAGCCAGGAGGGGCCTGGCTGGGCACTGCTGCTCCTGTTCCTGTCTCCAACTCCTGCTCCAACTCCTGCTCCTGTCCCTGCTCCTGCTCCAACTCCTGCTCCAATTCCTGTTCCTGCTCCTGTCCCTGCTCCAGCTCCTGTCCCTGTTCCTGCCCCTGCTCCTGTCCCTGCTCCAGCTCCTGCCCCTGCCCAGCACAGCAATGCTGTCAGAGCAGCTCCAAACCCACACCCTGGGCAGGGCTTGGGCTGAGCTTCAGCACCCAGAAAATGAAGCAGAACAGAGCAGAGGCACCTTCACCATCCTCGGGGGCTTTGGACTGCCAGAGAGCAGGGTTGGATGGGAGATTGGGAAGGAATTCCTGGCTGGGAGGGTGGGCAGGCCCTGGCACAGGGTGCCCAGAGAAGCTGAGGCTGCCCCTGGATCCCTGGAAGTGCCCAAGGCCAGGCTGGAGCACCCTGGGCTGGTGGGAGGTGTCCCTGCCCACGGCAAGGGGTGGCACTGGATGCCTTTAAGGTCCCTTCCCACCCAAACCATTCCAGGATTCTCAATGTGCACATCCATGGGGAGATCTGTGGGCACCTGGTCAGCCCCCCTGACAAGACACTGCCGTGTATCCCGCTGTTCCACATGGAATTCCTGTTGTTCCCCAGGTTCCTGGAGGTGGAGAGGCCCCGGCTCAGCAAGGCCTGGCGCACCCTGGCCTTCGTGTACCCCTACCTGTTCGACAGCATCCCCCTCTTCTACAGGGTGTGTATCCCACGGGATCCCCCAGCCCGGCCTGCTGCAGCCTTGGGAATATCAGCTGCCTCATCTTACTCCGAAAATATTTGGGAAAACGGGCCAAGCTTTTATTTTTCTAAAGGCAAACAAACCCCGGCAGGAAAAGGGACTTGGGTATTTTTTCCTGCGCCCACTGACAGGCGGATTCCTTGACTTCAAAGGGCCCAGGCTGGAAAATTCCTGCCTTTGGAAGCTGCAAAGTGCCTTTTCCAGTAGCTGAACAGGAGGGGTGGGAATCTGGCAGCGGTGGAGAGGGACACAGGGCTGGAATTTCATGGAAAATTCCTGCCTTTGGAAGGTGCAAAGTGCCTTTTCCAGGCTAAGCTGGAGCAGGGTGGGAATTTGGCTGCAGTGGGTGCAGGGACAGGGATGCAGGGCTGGGATGTGCTCGGGTGCAGGTGGGATGTGGGATCGAGGGGGGGATTCTGCAGCTGTGGGTCCAGGAACGGCCGTGCCTGCCCCGGGAATGACTTATCCTGCTTTTCCCTGGCTGCAGCTGTACCTGTGTGCCCTGGAGGGCTGCTCAGAGGGCTCCATCCTGCTGCACTACAAACACACGGGCTGTGCCCTCCTCACCTGCTTCATCTTCGCCACCCACCTGCCCGAGCGCCTGGCACCGGGCACCTTCGACTACATCGGTGAGTCCTCGGGAATGCCGGCAATAACCACAGGGCTGCCAGAGGAGCTCACGTGTTCCCTGCTGGAAATGTGGGAGGGGTTCTATAGACAGGGCACGGCAGTATCTCGTGTGTATTGGGGGATATTTTGGGGAATATTATGCGTGGAATGTTTGGCTTCCAAAATCTTCCACGGAGGGTTTCACACCCCCCAGACGCTCATTTCTCATGGAAAACCCCTCAGCTGGTGCCATCTCAGGGCGCTGCAGGAGCAGCCACCAGGAGCTGGGATGGGATGGGGTGGACACCTTTGGGGTTTTGCCTGTTTGGCCGCACCACGGACAACCAGAGCTCTGGGCACATCCCTGTGCCAGGACTGCAGCACAAACACATCCCTCATTCCCTTTCCATTTGGGAAGGAAGAGCTCTGTGCAGGATGATAAAAGCCACAGGAATTAGTAGAGTAAATATTTAAAGGCGATGGAGGGAGGACAGAGTGTGTGGAGAGTGTCTGAGTGAATCACAGAATCCTGGAATGGTGTGGGTGGGAGGGGACCTTAAATCCCATCCCATCCCACTCCATCCCATCCCACCCCCTGCCACGGGCAGGGACACCTTCCACTAGCCCAGGTTGCTCCAAGCTCTGTCCAACCTTACCTGGAACATTCCAGGGCTAGGGCAGCCACAGCTTCTCTGGACAAGCTGAACATCCAAGGAGCTCCCTGAGTGCTTTGTCCCTTCCTTCTGTTTTGGGGGTCTTTGTGTTTTGGGGTCTCTGTGGTTTGGATTCTTTTTGTGTTTTGTGTTCTTTGCATTTTTGGGTTTCTCTGTGTCTTGGGTCTTCATATCCTGGGTTTCTCTGTGCTCTGGGTTGACCCTGCACTCTGGAGTGCCCTTTGGCAGGTGGGTTCCCGTCACCACATCCCGCCGTTCCTTGCAGGGCACAGCCACCAAGTTTTCCACGTGTGTGGGATCCTGGGGACGCACTTCCAGCTGGAGGCCATCCTGAGGGACATGGCTGAGAGGCAGAGCCAGGTGCTGCTGCCCTCCTCCCTGCAGACCCTGTGCTCCTGGGGGTGTGCGTGGCCGGCAGCCTGCTCGTCATCGGCGTCAGCGCCGCGTCCCTGCCCCTGCTCCCGGAGCCTCTGCACAGGGACAAACCCCACTAGGGCTGGGCACCCGTGGCATTCCTGCTGCTCCAGAGACACCCAGCACGCTGCTGGTGTGGAGGAGGAGCCTGTCTGCTCCCAGTGTTTAGTGATGATCTTCTCAAGGGCTCGAGGAGCCGCACTGGTTTTATCCACTGAGCTTTGACGCTGCAAACGGGTTGGGAGACGCTTTAAATCCAGTTGTTATCCCGGGGAAGATGTAAAATATCCTGAATTTTATCCGGAAAAAGGGGCAGGAGCGCTGCCACTTCCCAAAGCAGTGGGGATTCGCCGGGTGTGCCTTAGGGAGGGGTCTCAGGGAATGTGGTGACACCTTTGGAGGGATGGCCACGACCCCCTGGGGGGGCACGAGGGCTCCCTGACTCCTCCTCTCACCTTCCAAGGGCCATCATTTTGGAATCTGAAGCCTTAAATATCCACCTTACACAGCCTTAAACCCCACCCCAGTGCCTGACAGACATGGGATTGGGGGGCTGGTTTCAAATCAGCTGGTTTGGATCAACACCTGGAAAAAGGGATTCTGGAAGACTCGGAATCCATGGGCTGTTCCTCCAGAACAGCTGGGTTTGGGGTCTAAATCTGGCACAAAGGGAAGTAATTCCTGGGGGAAAGCTGAGCTCCTGTGTTGGCAAAGCAATTCCCTCCTTTCCTGGGCGTTTCTGGAGGCTGGATGGCCCCTGGGATGGAGGAGCTGACACGGGAGAGCCAAACCTCCAACCCCCTCTGGGCTTTGGGGTCACTCTCGTGGGATAACATTTGGAATGTTCTGCTGGATGAGGGGTTGGGATGGGGGGCTCCAGGAGGGTGAACCACCAGCAGAGCAGGGAGTGGGATCTGGGCAGGGTGGAGTTGGGAGAAAGGCAGGATTTGGGATTAAATACCCAAGGGATCAAACCCTGGGATTTTAAAGCATTCCAGGGTTATCCCTCTGCTCCTGCTGCTGCTCCTTGCTTCCCTTTCCTGCTGCTCCTGGATTTTCCAGGCACAGAGCCTGGAGGTCTCAGCCTGATCCAGGTGAGGGAGAGCTCAGCTGGTGGCTCCAGGAATCCAGGGAAAACCCCCTTGGATTTTCCTATAAAGAACAAGCAACACTTCTAGGGAATATTGTCAATCATACGGGTGTTTAATTAATGTTTTAATTGCCAAGGTAGAACTGATGCACTTTGGAATGACAGCCCAACAGCTCATTAAATATGGGATCATGTGGTTAGACATGGAATAACTAAATCCTTTGTTTTTGAAAGCTGACCGAGGTTTGTGGGAATATTTATAAGCACTGGAATGTAATTGTTTATTCCACAGTTTTATTGCATTAAAAGAGAAAACTAATATAAATCACTGATCCTAATCTGGTTTTTACCCTTTGAGAAGAATATGGCTGGGGGAATGAATCACTTTGGGGATAATTGCTGACAATTGCAGAGTTTATTTACCTTGGGGGGAGTGGGGAGGAATCCAGCTCTGCCTGCAGGACGTGACTGAAGAGCCTGGAAAACCCACGGGAATCACTGCTCGGCTTTTCCAGGTCATTTCACTTCTGAACTGAGGGGTTCTCTTCCTCCTCAGCTGAAGGGAATTGTAGGAAAACCGCACTAAAAATCTAACCCTGGGCCGTGGAATGCCACGATCCCACTGGATCCTGTCTGTGCACGGGGAGTGGGTGAGGGCTGATCCTGAAGCAGCCAAATTCCTTCCTCAGCTGGACAGAGGCCTCCAAAAATCGATTTAATGTGTGAAATTCTCCTCACGGAAGAAACGAGAACGCTGTGGCAAATTGTGATGAGTCAATAAACGGGGATATTTTGATTTGCTGGAACAGGTTTTGTTGTGTGGGTGGCCAACCCACAGCAAATCCCAGCAAAGGGCTGAACAAGGAGCATCAAACACAGGGAATATCCCTCAGCCCCGGGGGTTTGGGCAGGCTGGGATGGCTGGGAATGTTCACCTGGAGCAGAGAAGGCTCCAGGGAGAGCCGGACACCGAGAGGGGTCACAGCGAGAAGCAGAAGGCAGAGGGTTGGAAATCCTTTGGGCTTTTTGCCTCACGGGGATAAACTCACCTGATGTGTTTGATCTGCACCAAAACCGTGAGTCTGTGGTTTAGGAACAGCTGAGTTCAACCCCCTGGAAGCCTTTGCTGAGGGTTCAGCCCCGAGTTACTTCATCCTCCACCCCCATTTCCACATTTCCTCCTCGGGAAGTTTGGGCTTTCGTAAACTTCTTCCACCGGGTTTCTTACACGTCACAACAGCATGTTTGAACCTTCATTTCCCCCCTGTGAACCGTTCCAGGTGGGGAATGAACTGATTGACTGATTTAATTCGGGAATGAACTGATTGACTGATTTAATTTGGGAATTAAGTGATGCACTCATTTAATTCAGGAGTGAACTGATTTACTAGTTTAATTCAGGGATGAACTGGTTTACTGATTTCATTCAGGAATTCATGGACTGACTGATTTAATTTGGGAATTCGCTGATTGATTGAATTCGGGAATGAACCGATTGATTTCGTTCAGGAATTCTCTCATTGACTGATGCACCTCCAGGCGTGGCCATAGGGGAGCCCTGGCACTGCGAATTACCAGATTACACCCCTTTTCCTGGGAACTAAGGAGATGAAAGGGAGATAAACCGAACATATCCAGGGCCGGACGCAGCCCCGGGCCTGGCGGGGCCGGGCCTCGAACCCGCGGCCTTTGAGCACTCCTCCCACCGTGCCCAGCAGGGGGCGCCCCTGGGCGCCGCCATGGCAACGCGGTGCGCGATGACGTCGCGGCGGCCGTGCGCGCTGATTGGCCGGATTTGAACGCGGCGGGCGCGCGGCCGCGGCTCGGACCCGGCGCGGCCCCGATCGCGACCCCCGGGGCGCTGTCGCGACAGCGGCGGGGACAGCGCGACATGAAGGCGGCGTAAGGCTCTCCACAGCCCCCTCCTGGACTTTCCCCTTCCCCTCCCGGGCCCTTCCCCACCCCCGGCTCCCTCCCTGTTCTGTCCCCTCGTCCCGCTTGCCCCGCACCCAGCTCCCCTCCATGCCCCGCTCTCTCCCCCCTCACCGCCCCCTCCCTGTCCCGCAGCAGGACCAAGACCCCCCGGCGGCCGAAGAAACCCACGAACCCTGCGCTGAAGGACCCTGTGGGGGTGAGTGCGGGCCGGGGGTTGCGGGGTGCGGGTCCCGGGGGGCTCGTCCCGGAGGGCTCGTCCCGGCCCCGCTGACCCTCCCCGTCCCCCCACCCTGCCAGGTTTACTGCCGGGTGCGGCCGCTGAGCCGCGCGGACCACGAGTGCTGCATCGAGGTGATCAACGAGAGCACGGTGCAGATCCACCCGCCCGAGGGGTACCGCGTGTTCCGCAACGGCGAGTACCGAGAGGTAACAGCGCCGGGGGGGCCGCGTTCCCGCCGGGAATGTGCCCGGAATAACCGCCCACCCCAGCCCGGCCTCGGGCACTCCCAGGGATGGGGCAGCAACAGCTTCCCTGTTGGCAGGAGTGTTAGGTGGGATGCGGAATAGTCTGGGGAGGTCTTATAAAAAAAGTATAAAGCGATCTACTGAGGCTTAAATGAAGTGGGAAAAGATTAATTAAAAGTTTGATAAACTTCTGCTCAAAAACGTAACATTCAGATATTTGCCTGAGAAAGTGTTTTGATGGAAAAAAATGACCAGATTTGTTAATAGAAATAAAGCAGCTTGAGAACTGAGGCTGGCCTGGGAAAACCCTACAATGAGGAGATGCTGGAGCAGCTGGACTTTGGCAGTTCCCTGCTCAGTGCTCGTGTGGGTTCTGGTGGGGGCTCAGGGGACTCTGGAGCTTTAAACTGTGGATTCTCTGGCCAGTGAGATCCTTCTGGCCTAAAGCTCTGGGAAATGAGGCTGTTGCTGCTCTCAGAGCAGTTCACTGGAGCAGCCCGTGTTCAAACACTGGTTTAGTCCTAAAGCTGAGTTTAATCGTTCTGCTCTGTCGTGGGAGGTATTCTGAGGTGTAAGCTGTGGATGTTTGGAAGCAATGGACTGCTGGCCATGGAAGCTGAAGGCTCAGGATGTGTCTCCTCTCTTGGCAGACACAGTATTCCTTTAAGGAAGTGTTTGGCACCCTGGTGGTTCAGAAGGAGGTCTTCGATGTGGTGGCCAAACCTCTGGTGGAGGATCTGATCCGGGGCAAAAATGGTGAGCAACTCCTGGCCTGGGCCACCCCCCTGCCACCCTCGTGGCCATGATCTCATGGCTCCCGAGGTTTCTTGTCCTCTCAGGGTAAAAAGGGACACCTTCCACCAGCCCAGGTTGCTCCAAGCCCCATCCAGCCTGGCCTGGGACACTTCCAGGGATCCAGGGGCAGCCACAGCTTCTCTGGGCACCCTGTGCCAGGGCCTGCCCACCCTCCCACTGACACCACAGTGCCTGGTGTGTGTCAGACTCCTCAGTAATGCCCCATTTTTGGCTTCCAAGTGCCCTGTCCCAGAGAGGACAGTGGATAATTCCAGTTGTGCTGATCAGTGAGAGCTGCAAACGTTTTGGTGGGCTGGAATCCTTGACTGCTCAAAAGCAACCATTGGGTTTTTTTTTCCCCCCAAATCCATTTGATTCCACACCTTTCCCAGGTCTCCTCTTCACCTATGGAGTGACAGGCAGTGGGAAGACCCACACCATGACGGGATCTCCTGGGGATGGAGGGCTCCTCCCACGCTGCCTGGACATGATCTTCAACAGCATCGGGCCCTTCCAGGCCAAGAGATTCGTGAGTGGCTTCACTCCCCACTGCTGCTGTGACAGCCCCAAAGCACCAGAGAAGGGCTGTGTTCAAAATAAATCTGTGACTGAGGAACCAACCAAAACCAGCCCAGCCCCTTGAGGTTTGAGGAGCAGGCCCAGGAGGTGGCTTGGATGGACATCTCGTGAAGATGTGTGGCCTGGCTGTCCTTGAACTGCTCCTCAATCCTTAATTAACTCTTGAAAAACAATTAAAATAAAAAGAAGAGGAAGCTTTCTGAGTTCTGGAGAGAGATTTAGCCACAAGATCCAAGAGCCTCAGGAAAGCTTATCTAAAATCACAGGATCGTTGAGGTTGGCAAAGACCTCCAAGGTCCTGAGTGCAGCCTTTGACTGAACACCACCCTTGTCAACTAGACCAGAGCACAGACCAGTTAGTGTAGATGTGAGGCTTTCCTCGTGGTCAAACTTCTGTGGGTTTTTAGTATCTAAACATTCTTCAGCAGTCCTAGACGCCTCTTCCTTGGGAGCTTTTATGAAATGCTGTTATTTTGGAAATACCTGTTTTCTGTCAGATCCACTCGGCAGACTGAGTGCTAGTGAGGGGCATGGAATTAATTCAAACTAATTAGTTGCTAACTTGATCAAATAATTAGTTTTGTTGGTCAACACCTTTAATAATTTTTTTTTTAATTGTCCAATCTTCCTGCCAGGTGTTTAAGCTGGATGACAAGAACGGGGTGGATGTTCAGACTGAGGTTGATGCCCTGTTAGAGCGGCAGAGAAGAGATGCCCTGCCTGTCCCAAAAACTCCATCTGGGAAGTAAGTGACTGTTGGACCACTCAGAGGGAATTTATTTACTATAAATGTTATTGTGTTAGTCTGGTTTTAACTTGTCTGGGTGTTTTTATCCTTCCCTTGGAGAGATGAAAGAAAAATCATGGAATCCTGGGATGGTTTGGGTTGGGAGGGGCCTTAAAGATCATCTCGTTCCAACCCCTGCCATGGGCAGGGATATTCCTATTAATTAGTAAAATATTAATGGAAAGTGAGTGCATTTCATGGGGTTGGAACAATTACACAGTTATTTAGATTAGAAACCTTAGAGTCAGGCAAGGGAAGTTTATTTTGATGAGGGCAGTGCTGTGGCTTTGAGCAGGAACAACCTGGAGATGTTTTCCTGGCCTCACACAACATCCTGAGCTGGAAGGGGCCCCCAAGGATCGTTGCAGTCCGGCTGCTGGCCCTGCCCAGGCCAGCCCAAATCCCAGTGTTTTGGTGGATATGGAGCATTCCCATGCTCCAGCCCCTGCCTGGGCTGATTCCAGGGGCTCCTGCAGTCACTCCCTGTCTCCACAGGCGCCACCTGGATCCCGAGTTTGCCGACATGATCAACGTACAGGACCACTGCAAGGTGGATGACGTGGATGAGGACAATGTCTACAGCGTCTTTGTGTCCTACATCGAGATCTACAACAACTACATCTACGACCTCCTGGAGGAGGCTCCCTTCGAGCCCATCAAACCCAAGTGAGTGTGGGGATCCCGCTCTTCCTGCTCCAGCCAGGCTTTTGCAGGAGCTCCTCCAGGTCTTTGTGGCTGTAGTCTTGGTGAGTCTGGCTCAAGTCACAAGAATCCTTAAAAAATCCCGTGGAAAGGAGATGGCAAAGGAGTCCAGACAGGAATATTTTGGTGTGCCAAGTACTGGTGCTTGTTGTGACTCACTGCTCCTTCCTCATCACAGTGATGGGATTGATTAGCAAATATTTAGTTAGATGGGCAGTGGTGGTGTGTCCCTCTGAGATCCCAAAGCTAGTCCTGCTGTTATGAGCAGGTTGGAGCAAGCCATTCCACAGCTGACCTTTTTTTTCCCCTGGAAACAGAGATTGGGTGCAAAATGCTGTGTTGTTGCTCCATAGTTAATTCACATTTGCATATGATTCCACTTGATGGCAGTAATTCCCATAAACCCAGCAGTGAATTGTCTCCCAAATGAAATGATGCATATTTCTGCAAAGGTGTGTGGACTTGGCTGATGTCTAAAATTGGTAAATCTTGGCACCAGCAGGAAAAGAAAAAACTGCAAATTGGCCTTTGAATACGTTTATTTAAATTCTAAATCCATTCAAGGAGCCCATCAGCACATGTGTTAATTAAAGAGCTGGCTGATTTACAAAGGCCAGCTAGAGCAAAGCAGGCTGTGTCTCTCCAACATCAAGAGCTGTCTCCAGGGCACTGCTCTGAAAAGGGTTTGAATGTCTGTGAAGGCTTTGGAAACAATGACATTAGTGCTGTGCTTCTGCCCAAAAACCAGCCTAGGAAGACTCTTGGCTTGTTTCTGTTTGTGGAAGCTGCAGTGTGTTGTGTGTGGAGAGATTTTTAGGCACAAACTGCAATGACCTAATGTTTTTACCCCTGTTTTCTCGGTAGGTGGAACAGTTGCAACACCCCTGTGCGAAATGGAGACTTTATGTATGTGCACAGCCTATTATTGCCACTACCAAAGTGCCACTTTCCTCCAGTAGAAGCAGAAAGTAGACTGATTCCCTGTCTCTTCTTGCTTTACTAGCGAATACTGAGTGCTGGCAAAGCCCCCCTGCTTCTGTGTGCATGTAGAAAAGCAGTAGCTGCCACCAAAGCAATGATCCCCAGCAGAAATGGCAATTAAACGTAGCTGCTCAATTAAAGCAGTAGCTGAAGTGTCACTAATCTTGGCTGGGTGTGTGTCCGTGTCCTTGTGTTTCCTCTTCCATCCTCTGTGCAGATAATCCACATAGTCACTCTGAATTTTGCACTTGAACGTGATTTGCATGACAATGATGTACAGAAAACTGTTCTAATGGGTTTTGGTGTTTTTTTTGGTCTGTTTGTTTTATTTCCTCGTTGTCCCAAAGACCTCCCCAGTCCAAAATGCTCCGGGAGGACCAGAACCACAACATGTACGTCACGGGCTGCACAGAGGTGGAGGTGAAGTCCACAGAGGAAGCTTTTGAAGTGTTTTGGAGAGGTAAATCTTCCAGAACTCGACGCAGGTCACAGAATCCTGGAAAGGTTTGGGTTGGAAGGAGCTTAAACATTGTCAGGTTCCAACTGGACACCTTCCACTAGACCAGGTCGCTCCAACTCCCATCCAGCTTGGCCTTGGGCACTTGCAGGGATGTGGAGTCCACGAGCTCCCACCTAGAGCGGGTTGCTCCAAGCCCTGCCCACCCTGGCTTTGAGCACTTGCAGGGATGTGGAGTCCACGAGCCCCCTGGGCACCCGTTCCTCACCACCCTTCCAGCACAGAATCCCTTCCCAATATCCCGTGCAGCCCCTCCTCCCCCCTGAGGCCTCTCCTTCCCGCTCTGGTGCTGGAAGCAGAGTTGGCTTTGCCAGGTGGGAATCCCTTTACCCAAAGCGCTGCTGTGTGGGGTGTGCTGTGCCCTGCAGGTCAGAAGAAGAGGCGCATCGCCAACACGCAGCTGAACCGCGAGTCCAGCCGCTCCCACAGCGTCTTCATCATCAAACTGGCCCAGGCCCCACTGGATGCCGATGGAGACAACGTCCTGCAGGTGAGCCCCGAGCAGCTGAGCCCAGCAGAGCCCTGTGTGGGGCTGTTAGAAAAGGGGCTGAGCCTTGGAAAACCCTCCCCGGGCCTCAAATTCCCAGGGGACAGAATTCATCTCCTTTTTGTACTGAAAATAAGGCCTTAAAATCACAGGCTCTGCTGGGTGGGGAAGGACCCACAAGGATTGTCGAGTCCACCTCCTGGCCCTGCATGTGGAGGGTGGAGCTGCTGATTCCTTTGGTTTTCACCTGTTCCTTTGTTAGGAATGTAAAATCTGGAGGATTTGGATGAGGATAGTTGTTATACCCCTCCTGTGGGCCAGGACACAAGGGAGCTGCTAAACTTCCCAGGAAAAGCTGGTGGTGCCCAGGCCTTGGGCTGTAAAAACACCCTCTGACCTTGTTTAAGGGCTCAACATGTATTACTTTGAATTGTTCAAGTATTTTGAAGTGTTCATGCTCCTTTGGGGGGTGGGGTGTTCCCCCCACGCCTTCTGAAGGAACATGGAGGTGATTATCCTTTGTTTCCTGTGCCAGGAGAAGGAACAGATCACTCTGAGCCAGCTGTCCCTGGTGGATCTGGCTGGAAGTGAGAGAACCAACAGGACAAAAGCCGAGGGGAACAGGCTGCGAGAAGCAGGTGGGAATCACCTTTAGGCACCCTGCTAATTGCTGGGCTAATTATGCTCCCATTAGTCTTGTCTCCCGGTAGAGACATCCCAGGAAGAACTGAAGTGCTGTGTTGTGATGATCAATGATCTGATTTGATGACCCGAAATCCTGGGGTTTGGAAACCCCAAGTTTTCAGCAGCACTTGTTCTGCCCCTTCAGTTAATTGGAGCAGTTATCTGCAACAAACAGAACCGGGAGCAGGCAATTCACCCTCCGAGAAACTGCTACATAGTTTGGGAACCTGATCCAAGTGGCTGCTTACCGAGTTTTTGCTCTGCCTTTGTGTTTTTTCAGGGAACATCAACCAGTCACTGATGACCTTGAGGACCTGCATCGAAGTTCTGCGGGAAAACCAATTGTACGGGACAAACAAGGTGTGGAGCCCTCAGCCCGTCATCCTGTGCTTGGATGGAGACCTGGAGTGCTGAAAGCTTGCTAAATCCTCCCTGTGCTTTGTTTTCAGATGGTTCCCTACAGAGATTCCAAACTGACTCATCTCTTCAAGAACTATTTTGATGGAGAGGGGAAGGTCCGGATGATCGTGTGTGTCAACCCCAAAGCTGAGGACTACGAGGAGAGCCTGGTAACCCCCCTGCACAGCTTACTGCAGTCCCTCCTGCTCCTTTCTTCACATTCCCCACTCAGTTCTTGTGCTTGAATAGATAAGAGGAATTTTGTTTGTTTGTTTGTTTGAGCACTTAGGGTAATCAGTTATAGTTTTGTAGGGTAAAATCGTATTTTCCATCTTAACATTACAACTGCTACTTGCTTGTGAAGCAGGGATGGTTTCACTTAATTAGAGAATTATAAAGAGCCATGTTTAGGTGTTTAATCCCTGCTATGACAGCACTAACAGGAATCTGAGCTGTCTGCACAAGGGTTCATGGCTCCTTGGGGCTGGAGCTCTTGGGACAGGTTGCTGGGAAGGCTTCTGGGTGCTCCCCATCAGAATCCCCAGTGGGAACCCCTGGAGCTTAGAGCTGGGTGATGTCTCCTCTCACGTTTTACTGCCTGAAGAGCCCTTTCAGCGCCGGAGTGACGTGTTCTGGTGGCTGTCCCGTCCCTGCAGCAGGTGATGCGCTTTGCAGAGATGACCCAGGAGGTGGAGGTGGCCCGGCCCGTGGACAGACCCCTCTGTGGGCTCACACCCGGCCGGCGCTTCCGCAACCAGGCCTTCCGAGAGGAGCTGGCCAGGAAGCTGGAGCTCAGGGGGGGCCCGCTCGGTGGGGGTGAGTACTGAGTGTGGGGGCAGCCTGGGAGAAATGGGGGGCACCTGCACAGCAGGAGGAGCCAGGGAGACCCTTCCAGGGCCTAAAGGGGCTTCAGGAGAGCTGGAGAGGGACTGGGGATGAGGTGTGGAGGGACAGGACAAGGGGGAATGGACTTAAGGTGAAGGAGGGAAGGTTTAGCTGGGATATTGGGAAGGAATTCCCGGCTGGGAGGGTGGGCAGGCCCTGGCACAGGTTGCCCAGAGAAGCTGTGGCTGCCCTGGATCCCTGGAAGTGTCCCAGGCCAGGTTGGACAGGGCTTGGAGCAACCTGGGCTAGTGGAAGGTGTCCCTGCCCATGGCAGAGGGTGGGACTGGATCATCTTTGAGATCCCTTCTCTTTGAGAACCATTCCATAGTTCTCTGGTTACAGCACAGTTAAAAGCTGTTTTAAATCAAATTCTTTGAGCCTTGAAAGTGCAAAAGGAGCTTCAGTGACCTGTTGGTTGGGAGCCCTGTGTGCTGTGGGAGCTGCTCCTTCCTTACTGCCTGTGGTACAAACACAGGCACTGTGCAAGCCTAAAGGAATCCTCTGTTACTGGGAGTGACTCCATGGTCCCATTATTGCAGCTCCTGGAAGGAAACTGTGCTGAGGACGATACTTTGGTGTTTCTACATGTTTGTAGGGCCTGCTTTAGAAATCCAGAGTTGCCTGGAGGTTTTGTGAAGCAGTGAATTGAGAATGACACATTTAATCTTCACTCAGCACTGTCAGCTCTTCTGAAAACCTACAGCTCTCCTCAATTATTCCCAGTTCTGCCTGCTCGGTGTGTGTGTTATCCACTGGAATTTTGCTGTCCTGTAACTTGCTGACAGACCTTCTTGCCTGTCAACCTTGCAGAAACAGAGGAGCCATCTGTGGCAGAAATGCTTCTGCAGAACTTCCCCCCGCTGCCCTCGTGTGAGCTCCTGGACATCAACGACGACCAAACCCTCCCCAAGCTCATCGAGGCCCTGGAGCAGCGCCACAAAATGAGGCAGATGTTGTCAGAGGAGTTTGCCAAAAATGGTAAGAATTCAAACAGAGCTTGATTTTTGGGGCCCTTATGGCTCCTGGAGGCTTCCTTCTGTCCCCACAGGAAATAATGATCTTGTCTGGGTGGGTCATTTCACCCCTTTTTTGAGGTCATTAAAGAGCTGGTGGCTTTGAGTCGGGAGGAGAAAAGCAGAACTGCCTTGGGTGTTGTGGAGATCAGGGGAGAAGGTGAAACGTCTCCATTCTCTTCCAGTGCTTGCCTTTAAAACAATGCTGCAGGAGTTTGACTCCAGTGTCTTATCCAAGGAACACTACATCCAAGGAAAGCTGTCTGAGAAGGAGAAAACAATAGCAGGGCAGAAAACGGAGCTGGAACGCCTGGAGAAGAAGATTAAAACCTTGGAATACAAGGTCAGTTTGGGCATTTTCAAGCACAAACCACATTTTTTTTACGTACCACTTGGCAGAAGTTGCTGGATATTGGAAACAAGATAAAAAAGGATTTTGTGGGGAACTTCACTGGATATTTTTTGGCTTTTTTAGCATGTTAAGATGGGCAGTGTATAATTTGAAATGTATATTTACATTGTCATGTAACTGGCAGTTCGTGGCTCAGATGGCTGTGTTACTAAGAGGTGTATCCAAATCCTTGCTGCCTTCCTGCAGATTGAGATTTTGGAGAAAACTGCCACAATTTATGAGGAGGACAAGAGGAATCTCCAGCAGGAACTGGAAAGCAAGAGCCAGAAACTGCAGCGTCAGGCGTCGGACAAGAGGAGGCTGGAGGCCAGGCTGCAGGGAATGGTGGCAGAGACCACCATGAAGTGGGAGAAGGAGTGTGTGAGTGCTCTGCTGTGTCCTCTCCACTCCCATGGAGGTGGAATGTGCACACTTCAATAGCTGGAATCTGTTCCTCTGTGCTTGGGCCACCCTTGGGGAGTGATTCTCTTGTAGAAACTCAGTGTCAGAATCTCCCCTTCTTCCTTATGGAAGTTCTTGCTCAGCTCTGCTCTGGACAAGCAATAAGGAAAGGAAAGCTGAGGAATTAATTAACTGTTACCACTGCAGGACTGTTTGCTGCTCCAGGATCAGGGATGGAACTCTAACTGGGCATGTTCCCATCTGCTGTAGTTTAGGAAAGCAGATAATTATGGTGTTAAATGTGTTACTTTATAATCTGGAAGGTCTGTCTTTGGACTGACAAGGCATTATTTCCAATAGCTCGTGCCTCAGTGGGGAAGATATTCATTCCATAGGGAATTCCCTGCAAAATCCCAGCACAGTTTAACCTGGGAGAACTTTCAAGGAGGACCTTCTCTTTCTCCAATCCCTGACAGGAGGGGGGAATCGAGCTCTGCTCCCAGGGAACAGGGACAGGAGGAGAGGGAACGGCCTCCGGCTGTGCCAGGGGAGGGGCAGGTTGGACATCAGGAGGAATTTCTCCATGGAAAGGGCTGGTCAGGCACTGGAAGGGGCTGCCCAGGGAGATGGTGGAGTCCCCACCCCTGGAGGTGTCCAAGGAAGGCCTGGACTGATGGGGATCAGCGACAGGTTGGACTCGATGACCTTGGAGGTCTTTTCCAACCCCAATGATTCCGTGTTTTCCTGTGAAGTACTTGATGCTTTCCCTGTCCCTGCAGGAGCGTCGTGTGGCAGCGAAGCAGCTGGAAATGCAGAACAAGCTGTGGGTGAAGGATGAAAAGCTGAAGCAGCTGAAGGCCATTGTCACTGAGCCCAAGGAGAAGCCAGAGAGGCCCTCGAGGGAGAGGGACCGAGAGAAGGCTGTGCAGAGATCCCTGTCACCTCCCCCAGTGCCTGTAAGTTGCCTCCTAACACTAATTAACACAGGGAAAAGCATATTTTAAAGATGAAGTGCAGGTTAGAAAGTAGTTCCCAGGCACAGAATCTGAGTAGCTGCAACTGCCTTTGAATTCTTTGTGTCCTGTGTTTACCTGTGCTCCCACCTCCTGCTGCTGCTCCAGGGAGGCAACCCCTGAATCTTCGCTGTCACTGCAACACTGCCCTCATCCAGCTGAGTTCTCCCTCTGCACAGTGCCAGCATTCCCTGTTCACTGCTCTAGGAGTTCTGTGGTGTGTGTTCATGTGTTCACTAACTCCTCTCCCCTTCTCTGCAGGGCTCTAGTCCCTTTGCTCAGGGGGGGCACAGCCAGCGCCTCGCCAGCCCCCCGCAGGGGCCCAGACGGTCTAACTCCTGTAGCAGCATTTCTGTGGCCTCCTGTGTCCTGGAGTGGGAGCAGAAAACCCCTTCTCACAAGCAGAGCACTTCTTATGCCAGGACTAAGCAAGAGGCAGAGCCAGGCAGAGGCTGTAACAGCTCCCACAGAAGGAGAGGCATGTGCTGGACTGGAGTCCTTGAGGTGCCCAGGCCCAGAGAGGAGCTAGAGATAGAAGAGGATCACTGCTGCAGGGTTAGTGCTGCTCTCTCCAAAGCTCAGCCTAGTGGGGTTTAGTCTGGCTTAGAGCTCTGCTGCCTTGAGCACCCCTGACGTAGAGTAGAGCTTTCCCCTGACTGTTCCTCCCGGGCTGGTGCTGGTCCCAGGCTGAGCCTGGCTGCTCTCTCTGACCTCCTGGTGTTCAGATCCTGCTCAGGCCTCGAGGCTGTGTTAGTCTGGCCTGGCCAGACCCTTCCTCGAGCTCTGAGTGTCCCTGTGCTTTCCCTCGTGTCTGTGTGCTCCAATCCCTCCTCCTGCACTTGCCAAGGCCTGTCTGGGCAGCTTAAGGTGGTCTGGAAATGGTGCTTGGATCAACATCCCACCTGCGACTCAACTGGGGCTCTCTTACAAGGCTCCTCCCTCATTTCCATGCCTGCACTGAAAGTGGGGTCTCTGATTACACTGATTTCCACCAAACTGCTGCCTGTAAGTGATTATCAGTGGTGGCACCACTGTCACAGTGGCTCAGGCAAATCTGAGAGGGTTGTACAAGTTTTGTCATGCCATCATTCATTTTTGAGAGTGTTCCCAAACTTCTCCCAGAATATTCCAATTCTTTATTTATTTGTATTTGTTTTAAGGGAAGATTTTTGCTGAAAGCCACATTTCCCTGTATATGTTTAATTTTTAAGAGGTTTATCTGTGCAGGGCACAGTCAAAGAATGTGTAGTGGTTGCTCATCTGAAGATACAGCAGGTGGGATTTGCATCCATGGCTTTGGGTTGTGCAAGGATTGGGAGACCTCCAAAATTACTGTGTAAATGGAACAGGCTCTGCAAATCCTCTTTGGAAAGCCCATTCCAAGACCTTGTTCTGATTTTCCCGAGCACCTGACAATGATTCTCATGCTCATGAGATGCAGTAGATGAGCTTCAGTCATTCCCCATGGGTTTCCAACAGCTGAGTTCAGAGCAGTAGCACAGGGAATGTTTCCTGTGCTCTGGGGACCCAGAAGTGCTGGAATTCATCCTCCTGCATCCTTCAGAGGGACTGGGAATCCATCCTCCTGCATCCTTCAGAGGGCTGGGAATCCATCCTCCTGCATCCTTCAGAGGGCTGGGAATCCATCCTCCTGCATCCTTCAGAGGGCTGGGAATCCATCCTCCTGCATCCTTCAGAGGGGCTGAGAATCCATGCTGAGGATGGATTTGCTTGCTTTGCTACCTCCCAATTACATTTTGGATCGTGAATGGATCCATGGAGACACAAATTCCTCTTTTCTGGTTGGTTAAGATATCCCTAAATCCTAGACTGTCCTGAGTTGGATGGGATCCATCGGGATCATCCAGTCCAACTCCAGGCCCTGCACAGGATCCCACCAATCCCACTCTGTGCCTGGGAGTGTTGTCCAAACGCTCCTGGAGCTCTGGCAGGTTTGGGGCTGTGACCACTGCCCTGGGGAGCTGTCCCAGTGTGGACAGAGCGGAACAAGCCCTCCTTGGACCAACTGGTGATGGAAATCTGGGAGGAGATCACCACACACAGATTCCCTCCTCGAGGAAACTTCACTGAGCGTGGAACGCAACAATGCTAAAACACCCCAAGAAATGGGAACTGGCACAGAATATTCCATTCTGACTTCCTGCCAGGCTCCTGGAGCCTTGCTGGGTCCAACCTGGGGGCACTCTGGGAGCAGAGCTGCGGGTCCCCTGGGTGATTTCCCTTCTGCTGCCTCTCCCCAGAACGCGCCCCCCGTGCGGCTCCGGCACCGCCGCTCGCGCTCGGCCGGGGAGCGCTGGGTGGACCACAAGCCCCCCTCCAACGTGCCCACGGAGACGGTGCTGCAGCCCCACGTGCCCCACGCCATCACCGTGGCCACGGCCAGCGAGAAGGCCCTGGCCAAGTGCGACAAGTACATGCTGACACACCAGGAGCTGGCCTCCGACGGCGAGATCGAAACCAAACTCATCAAGGTACGGCGGCTCCTCCCAGCAAAACTCGGCCAGAACCTCTCCCTGGCAGTTTGCTTGGAAAAGGGAATGTTGGGCTCGACCCTCTAGGAGTTGGTTTGAAGCTGTGATTTGATTTCTGTTGGGTTATTTCACTGCCCCCAGGATTCCAGCCCATCCCTGCCGTGGCAGTGGCTGCTCTGGGGGGTCCTGCAGGGGACAAATAATGAGAGGAGCATAATTGTGCCCACGTTTCCTTGCACTGAGGTTTTTGGGGAGCCTTGCCCTGCTGAGCTGACAGTTCCTTGTCTCTGCTCCGGCTTCCAGGGGGATGTTTTCAAAACCAGGGGCGGTGGCCAGGCTGTGCAGTTCACTGACATCGAGACCCTGAAGCAGGAATCTCCCACTGGGTGAGTTGGGCCTTTCATTTTGGGATCTGGGGGTGTGGAACTCCAGGAGTGCTCCTGGAACCCCTTCTGGTCCCAGCGATCCAAGGGGAAGTTGTTGCCTCCAGCTTGAAATCATACAAATGTAACTTGGGAGGCTCTGGATGCTGGAGGTGCTTTTAGGGCTGGTTTGCTGCTGAGGGCAAAGGTTTGTTTTGGAAGCATGGAATGGGCAGATCCTCGTGCACAGGAGAGCAGAGTCACAGGGGCTCTGTGCTCTTCCCTCACGTTCCTGTTCCAGGAGGAAGCGACGCTCGTCCCCTTCCCATCCTGACCCCCTGGGAGAGGCTGCAGACTCGGAGTGGACTGATGTGGAAACCAGGGTAAGATAACAGGGAAAAGGGGAACACTGGTGGTCATGGGATCTGGGAGGGGTTGGGTGGGAAGGGACCCTAAAGCTCATCCTGTTCCCCCTGGGATGGTGTCCATGGGCTGGGACACCTTCCCCTAGCCCAGGTTGCTCCAACCCCCATCCGACCTGGCCTGGAACATTCCAGGGATGGGGAGTCCAAAACCTCTCTGGGCAATGATCTGGATGAGAATTTGGGATCACGCTGATCTGGGGGTGGTGGGAGCAGCAGAGCCTGATCTGTGTGTGTTCCCAGTGCTCCGTGGCAGTGGAGATGAGGGCGGGATCAGCACTGGGACCTGGATATCAGCACCACGCTCAGCCCAAGTAAGTGCTCCTGGGAGGCTCATTCCCTCTCCTGGTAACTCCTAAAATCAGGGAACTTCTCCTTCTCTCTGACCTCGCTGCCCTTCCCACTTCAGGCTTGGATTCCCGACTGGAATAGGGTTAGGGATGGCAAGGACAACTCCCTGTGTGTTTACATTCCCAAAAAAAGTGAAATGCAGGTGTTTCTGGGGTTAAATGTTGCATCTCCATAGCTCAGGAGGGATGTGAGGCTCAAGGGTGCTGAAAACAGGGAAACTGGGTGGTGGCTGCTCCTAAAGCTGCTGTGGGTGAGCTCTGAGAGCTGTTTGTGGCTCTTTCCTTTCCCGTTTTAGGCGAAGAAAGCCCTGAATTTCTGCTGGAATTGCCCTGGATTTTCCCAGGCCGATGGATTATCTGCTACCAGCGTCACATGTCACAGACCCTGCTTTGTCCTCACTCCAGGCTGGTGTTGTTAGGGTGGCCTGTGCTAGGAAATGGTTCCATGGGTGCTACCTGTGATCCCAAAGAAGCTTCTTACGGATTTGTATATTTTCCATAGATTTAGGGGGGTTCTGCCAACGTGCCTCTGGAATTCCAGGCACCTTCTGCCTCATGTATGGAGCTGTATCTTTACAGCCCTGTGCCCCAAGGCTTCTGCCTTGTGGAGTTTCCCAGCTTTTCCATTCCACACTCCAGATCCATCTCTCCTGGTCACTCTCCCTGCCCTCAGGGCCTCTGTTCTGAGGAGGCCCAAAGGCTGCTATGGATTTAGTGCTGCACTTTAAGGGTGTTTTTAGGCCATTTCCTGTTTTATTGTAACCAGCAACAGCTTGGGAATATGAATTCCTCCTTGAAAGAATGACCCTTGAGTATTTAAGGTGTAAATCAGCCCCTTGAAACGTGCCCGTGTTCCCAGGAGCAGAAATCCTGAGGGGAGCAGTGGGCACTTGGCATCAGCCCCCTGTTGTGTCGTGCCAGTGGAGGAAGGGAGAGGGGCATTTCCTCACAGCTGTGCTGAGAAGTTTCTCTGTGTGTCCCTGCAAACGTGTTAAAATAAATCCTTTTACTCCAAATGCTCTTCCAAGCCCTGCTGTGGTGGTTTGGGGCAGTGGCTGAGGGAGCCCCACAGCTCCTGCCTGTGTCCTGTGCAAAGGAATCCACTCTGGGGGGGTTCTGAGGTTGAAGTCCTGGAATCTGCTTGGATGTGGTTTGGGCAACTTTGTTTTCAGCTCTGCAAGCTGCTTTTGGGGCAGCTGGGTCCAACTGGAGAGCTTGCCTTGTTATAAGGGAATTTTAGAATCCCAGAATCCCAGAGCAGTTTGGGTTGGAAGGGACCTTAACATCCCATCCCATCCCACCCCTGCCATGGGCAGGGACACCTTCCACCAGCACAGGCTGCTCCAAGCCCCGTCCAACCTGGCCTTGGACACTTCCAGGGATCCAGGGGCAGCCACAGCTTCTCTGCCCAACCTGTGCCAGGGATTTACCACCCTCCCAGCCAGGAATTCCTTCCCAATCCCCCACCTCTCCCTGCCCTCTGGCAGTGGGAAGCCCTCAAGTGCAGAGGGACAGAAAGTGAGGTGTTTTCCATCCTCTAGGTGTTCCCTGAGCTCCCCAGGCTGTGGATGGCAGGGAAGCCACTAGATGGTGTGGGATAACCATCCCGCTGGACTGGATCCCTCTGCCTGCAGGGAGAGGCTTTGGCCTGGGCCAGGCAATAACTCCTTTCCTTGGGATGCCCCCAACCTGGGCAGTGATTTCCAGCTGCCTGTGGGAGGACAGGGATAGGGACAGGGATAACCCATGGAAATAATGAACTTAAACCAAGGCTCTTATTTCTGGCATTTAAATTAACTAAAATAACAGGTCTATAAATGACAAGCAAACATGATCTCTTTGATTGGGATTCCATCATCCTGTCAGTGTAAGCCACACTGGGAGTGTTCCAGAGGAAACCTTGGAGGCACAGGGAACCAGTTCTCAGAACTTTGCATGGAAAAGACTCAACCCACAGGACAGAGCAAGGTGAGTTGCTGAATTTGCCCTCAAAATGCTCATTTTTATATCCCTGCTGTGAGGCCAAAGCATTTCTTTCCCAGCCCTTTCCCAGCTCCATGTTTTGGTTTGACACCTCCTGTTTCCCAGAGCTTTGCTCTGAAATTTCTGCTGGTGGAGGCGAAAGGATTTGAGCCCAAAGCAAACACCTCCTGCAGCCACTTTGTCCCCTCTGAGAGGTTAATCCAAAGTGCAAACAGACCTTGGGGAGGAGGATCCGTCCTTGCCAGCCCTGGGAGGAGGTGGCAGCGTGGCCAGGACTGGGCTGGAGTCTGTCCCTTCTTCATGGAATCATGGAATGGGTTGGGTTGGAAGGTAAAGCTCATCCCATCCCACCCCCTGCCATGGGCAGGGACACCTTCCACCAGCCCAGGCTGCTCCAAGCCCCGTCCAACCTGGCCTTGGACACTTCCAGGGATCCAGGGGCAGCCACAGCTTCTCTGGGCACCCTGTGCCAGGGCCTGCCCACCCTCCCAGGGAAGAGTGGGATGAGCTTTGCAGCCTGTCCTGGCTTCAGGTTTGGAATAAACAGGACTTGGATGAGGATTTGGGGTCACCTCATGAAGACTGTGAGCTTGGTGGAGGAGAACACAGGGATTTTTGAGGCAGGAGGAGTCCCTTGGTGTGCCCATGGAATAACTCTGTGTTTCATGCAGGCAGAATTTGGGGGGATAGTCCTGGAGTTGTTCTTGCCCAATAACAGGGTGATTTACTGTGTTAGAGCAGGTTATGGAGCAGGAGCTCTAAACCCAGGGCCATCCCAGGCTCTGGCTGCCACAGCAGGAATGTTTGCTCCGTGCCTGGAAGGGGCAGCTCCCCCTCACCTCCCTGCTGGAATGCTGGATGTGCAGGCAGGGTCAGCAGTGGGATGTGAGGGCAGGAGGATTTCTGTAATTAGTGCTGCTCCTCATGTAAATGGGATCACTGCAGGCACTGTGTGTTCCTGGCAGCCCTTCCAACGGGACCACCCCCTGCTCCAGTGGGAGCCACTGCAACAGGAGAAGATGGAACAGCCTCAGGCTGTGCCAGGGGAGGGCAGGTTGGACATCAGGAGGAATTTCTCCCTGGAAAGGGTGGTCAGGCACTGGCAGGGGCTGCCCAGGGAGGTTTGGAGTGCCCACCCTGGAGGTGTCCAGGGAAGGCTTGGCCATGCTCTGGGCTGGGGACAGGGTGGGGATGGGGCACAGGGGGGATCTGATGATCCTGGAGGCCTTTTCCACCCTCAATGATTCCATGATTTCACAAGCCTCTAGCCTGGGGGAAGAGCAGCTCCTCACTGCTTTTGTGCTGTTGTTCCTGGTTCCTGCAGCTGCAAACCTGCAGAACTTCAGCACTTCCAGGCAGCTGCTCCTCTGGAATCCCAGGATCACTGAGGATGGAAAAGCCCTCCCAGCCCATGATCCCCCCTGTGCTCCATCCCCACCTGAGTGCCACATCCAGGCCTTCCCTGGACACCTCCAGCTGGGATCCCCCCCTGGAAGGGCAGAGGGGCAGTGGGTGCCTGGAGCCAGGGAAGAATCTCGCTGTTCTTCCTCCTCCTCCTTTGGCTCCCTGGCAAGGCAGGAGCACAGAGCTGCCTCCACGTTTACCTTTTGAGGTAACAAATTCCTCCTCCCCACGGGGCTGGATCTGCAGTGGGATCCCCCTGCCAGCTCTGCTCCATCAGCCTTTCCTGCTGGCACAGGGGGACGGCTCTGGATTGTGTTCCCTGTGCTGCCTGGATGTTCTTGGCATCAGCTGGCTGCAGCTCTGCTGAGCAACGAAAAGCAGGAGAAAAACCAGCAGGAATGGCCCTGGAATGACAGGCAGGGTGAGCTGGGGTAGAGCTGGAGCTGAACTGGGGCTCCTGTGGAAAAGGGGGGAGACAAGGCACGAAAGGCCACGACATCCCACCCTTCTCCCAGGTCTTCCATCTTCCCAGGATGGAAGCCCAGCAGCCTGCTGGATTAGCTGAGCTCGTCCTGCCCAGTGCTGTGTGGATGAAAAGGGGCTGGGAGAGCTGCTGAGCCCGGGAGAGCTGCAGGGAGGCAGGAAAATGCTGATTCCCAGGAGCCTGGGGAGGGATCAAAGCGTGACCCAGACCCCTGGCTCAGGGACATGGAGGATTTTGGGCAGCAGAACATGGAGCTGTGGCCCAGCAGAACTGGGGTGGGGGAGCCAGGCTGGATCCAGGCACCTGGAGCTGCTGCTGGGCTTTATCCCTAAAACCAGGGCAGATCCTGAGCTCAGCCAGCCCTGGGAGTGCTGGTGTCCATCCTCCTTGGGGCAGTGACACGGGACCAATGAGCTTTTCCAAGGAGCTGCTCCCTAATTCCCAGAAACAGTTTGTCTCTGTGTCTGCCTTGATTTATGTGCAGTTCAGGCACTGTTAAAAATAATCCAGCCCTGCTAAAATTATATTGTCTGGTTGGGAGCGAGGGGACTATAAAAAGAGGGGTAAAGGGGTGGTGGGGAACAACAGCTGTGCTCTGCAGGAAAGGAGTTTGTCCTCTGCCCTTGCCAGGGACGCTTCCAGAGGCAGGAGTGGCCCTGGCACAGGTGGATCACCCAGGGAAAGGCAGGAGGCTGGTCCCCAGTTTCCCCCTGTCATGTCCTATCCATGGGCAGGGAAGAGTTCAACTCATCATTTGATCCATCATTTATTCATCATCATTTATTCTCCATTTGACCTGTGATTGAGACAAGAACTAATTACTGAGCCAGGCCTTTTGGGTGGTGATCCCTCCTCCTGCCCCCCCAGCTCCCTTCTCCTGCAGCTCTGGATACTTGGATTTGCTCTGAAAACACCACGAGCTGCTCTTGTTGTTTTATTAGGAAAAAACCCCTGGAGCCTGTGAAGCACAATTCCCCGGGACAGAGGCTAATCCTCTTATTTCTACACATTTCTGGATGATTAAATGGCCGGATTATTTAAGCAGTGATTTGTTGCTGGATTGCATCATCAAGGAGATCTGAGGCATAAATATTGGCTTTGGGCTCCAGCTCGGGGCTGTTGAAAGGGGGAGAAGGTGTTTTGGAGACAGAACCCAGAGCAGTTCCATGCAGTGTGTGGAGCAGGAGGTCACAGCAAAGGCCTCAATCCTGTTGGCTTGTGGAGCTTTAACCTTCCCAGAGAGCAGGAACTGCAGCTCTGCCCAGTAAATCTGGGATCTGATGGCACCTCCAAGGGAACTCGTCCTCCTGCTGGGCTGGGAATGGGCTGGGGGATTTTGCAGTGTCTGCACTTGGATTACTGGAGCTGAGGGAAGGGCTGCAGCTGGGTCAGGGGGGCTAGGATGGATAGCAGGGAAAGGCTCCTTATCCAGAGGGTGTTTGGGCCCAGAACAACTCCCCAGGGTTTGGTCACAGCACCAAGGAGAGGTTGGACAATGCTCAGAGGGACAGGGTGGGATTTTGGGGTGTCCTCAGGGCTAGGAGCAGGACTTTGATCCTTATGGGTCCCTTCCAGCTCAGGATATTCCAGGATCATGGGATTATCCCCATCCACAGGGGCAGATGGTCCCTGGGCGTGTTGTCACCAGCCCTGCTCCCTGGATGAGCATCCTTCCCTTGGATGGGGAACATCCCCTGGCTCAGCTGCTCCTTCCTCAGGCCCAGCTCAGGGGCAGTTCCAGCAAGGTCCAGCCTAAACCTGCCAGCTGAAGGGTCTTGGTGTCAGCCCATCCAGGGGGAGCAGCTTCCAGCTCTCCCTTGGATCTGGAAGGGACTGGGATTCAGGGAATGGGTCCTGCAGGATGCCCGGACAGGTTTGGGGGGTCTGCTCTTTGGGGGTTGGGGCTTTGCTGCTCTGCTTTGGTTGTGTCTTCCAGGTGGAATTCCCCAGATTATTCCCAGATGATCAGTAAGGAGAGATGGATGCACTGAGGACTTTGGGAATGGTACTGGAGTGATAACAGGGGGTGGGAGGAAAATGTGTCACTGGAAAACTGCTTGGGTTGTGGAAAACTCCCTGGGTTTGGGCTGGGATGGAGGAAGGGGAGTGGGAGGGACTCTGGCTCTGGGTCTTTCTATCCCTTTCTGGTTCTTCCTGGGGTTTTCCTTCTGCAGCTGATATCCCAAAACCCAGTGGCTGGAATATTGGATGGGCAGGAAGGGAGGTGGCTGAAAATCAAGGACGTACCCCCTGCAAGGGTTTGGCTTCCCAGGCTTTACAAATGCTCTTGGAATGACCCAAAGCCCCCAAAATTGCAATAAGAAGAATATTTTAAACCTAATCCCCAGATTAAAACAAGGGTGAGCAGGAAGGGTGGTTTGCTGTGGATGTAGACCCAGAGCAGAGCTGGAAAATGCAATTTCTCAGCTGCTTGGAGAAATTCAGTTGGAAAATAAGACAAAGTAAATATTTACTGGAGCTTGGACAATCCAGGGCGTTATTGCAGTGGGAATTCTTTGCTGTGGTGTTAATAAACCCTCTGACAGGGGGGCTGGAGCTGCTCCCTGCTCCCCCCTCCCTGCTCCCACCTCCTCCCTAAACACAAATCCTGCTTGTTAATGAACCCACCCTTCCATGCAAATGAGATTCCAAAGAATAAGTAAGTAACTTTATCAAATTGACATTCCCCTCTTGAACCAAATGTCAACAGTGCCTTTCCAAACAAGGCAGAGCTGCTCTTTGCAGAGCTGGGGGCGATCCAGTGGCTTGGAAAATGCAGGAGAACCCAAACAAGGACAAATTCTCCATTTCTGGGGGGCTGTGGTTTATTATTTGTTGCTGTTCCAAGGGGAACAGCCAAAGGATTCTGGGCTGGGATAACTCCACCTGCCCCCAGATCCCCACAAACCCCTCTGTGCTACTCCAGGCTGAGCTTTGAGATAATTCCAGCTTTAAAAGGTGCTTAAATACAAAAGCAGGT